GGGTGGGGGGGGGGGGGGGGGGGCGTTGGGGGGGCTCAATGGTATACATGGGGAAAACGCTACCACCCGGTCGATGCAAAAAGGAGGTGCATGTAGCAACCACGTTGATCGCAGAACTGTGTATGTAGCGACGATGAGGGTTCGTATGCTCTGCGTGCGCGTAGTGCGTCGGGCCGTCATACGCGGCAAGGCCGACTACGGCCTGGTCATCCTCGTCGACTCCCGTTATTACACCCGGCACGACAAGAGGTACACCTTTTTTATTCTCTTCTCTCCGATTGTTGTCTCTCTGCGATCCTCGCTATTGTACCGCTGTGGGCAAGGTTTCCCTCAGAGGCGGCATGGTATCCGTGCAGCTGAGACTACATTTGTTGCGCGTGCTGCAGCACATGTCCAGGATGAGAAGAGCAGAGGGGCGTCCGAGATTCACCTACTGCTGGTGGCCGTGATTTAAGTATTGCAGAGAATCACGGGCTCCACACATTTACTAGCGAAGTTTAAGGGCATTTATATCAAAGATTGATGTTTTAGCTACACTGTAGACTGCTGTGTAGAGGAAGACATATCGGTGTCCCGCCCCATTACAGCAGTACACGAGAAAAAAAATAGTATCTACGGTTTACGCGCGTGTCTCCAGTCAACCACATGTATTGCCTCATTCGGCTGCGTGTGGATGTGAATCGTGAACACAAGTCGTGGCACTACACAAAGTGCACCGTACTCCTACATACCTAGGAAGGAAGTAGACGTGAAGTTCCATTCAGCAAACAAGGTTGGTTCTGGAACACGCACTAGACTACAACTTACAACTTGTTGTGCTGTTCTGCGGATCATGGCCTTCACCAAACACGCAAGCAAGCCTCTGTACTGTCATGCCGCAGGATCGTTGTTTTGGTTCCACCTAACTCAGCCCGCAAATTCGCCTGTGATGACTCACGCAAGTGCAATAGGGGGCCATGGGAATGCTTGACTTTACATAGCTGTGCGTGCAACAGCAGTAACAACGTGGGTGTGGTCATCGCCTGTGATCGTCGCGACTGCTGTTGCTTCCACCCACCTCGACGATTTCAAAGCCAGAGAAGGAGCGATATCGCTCCGCCACCTCAAACAGCATCGTGTTTGCGTTCTCGCGACGGGAGCCATGGTCACACACGATGACACCCACGCGCCCGCCGTCTCCTCCTCCTCCTTCTCCTCCTCCTCCTCCTCCTCCTCCTCCTCCTCCTTCTGATGCTGCTGCTGTTGCAGTTGCTGCTCTTCTTCTTGCCGATGATGCGGCGTATTCAGCATCGTTTCGCTGACGAGGTTGATTGCCCGCTGCCGACGACGATGTTCGCACGCAGCTGCTGTAGGGGATAGCACTCGGCACAAACGCCGCGGCAACACCGACAGCGGAAGCTGCTGCGAAACATACCAAGCGCATAGCGTACGATGCTCCTGGCCTGTGTGCAACAGTGACAGGGGACAGCAGTAGTGTGGAGACACAATCACCGGGGAGGGTCCGTGGTTTAAAATTGACGGTTGGGGTGGGAGGGGGGAGCAGGGGGCACGCTTGTTTCTTGGTTGCGCATGTGCCTTTCTTTCTTGGACGTTGGTATAACAGCAGTGTTCCTGCCTGTCTGACGTCTCTCTCTCGAGACGCGAACACGTCGCGGATCACATCCTGACTCTGATGGCTACGACTGCCTCGTACGACGAGCTGCTGGCATCAGCGACCGAAGTGAAGCATAAGGTAAGCCGTGAGAGATCACGGCAACAGCAACTGCAACTTGTTCAAATTTGAATCTCTCCTAGCTGACTGAGATTCGATTGCTCGGTACACCATTAGGTATAGGCAGCAGTGTATGCAAGATACACATGAAATATGTACAGGCAGTGGCGGCGCTTTGCATTGTGGGGGTGTCCTCCCTTCAAGTCTGGCAGAATCGCGTGAGTATTGGCGGTCTGGTAGATCTTCGGCTGTGTATATAGGGTGCACATTCACACTTACACGCCGGTTTGACATCTCGATGTGTTATCCCGCAATGTCCCGAGGTCTCCCTCGAAGTTCGCGGGGCCAAGAGATTCGATCCGAAATACCCGCTGCGAAAGCCGTGCGAACGCTTGATTCGCATCTCAGTGGGTCACGATAACATGCAGCTTTTTTTGTCGTCTGTGACCCCCTACTCTGTTACCGCCCTCCGCCGCTGTGCATGTATGCGTTTTGCACCGCCTCAAAATAAGACGGAGTTCAGATCGAACGCCGACGAAGCGCTCAAGCTCACCGTGCGACAAGACGTCACCCGCAAGGCCGGGTTCAAGAAACTCGGCCGCTCAGTCCTCGTGTTCGACTTCCAGCCCGCCGGCGCCATCACCTCCACGAACAGTCCCAACAACGTGATGGACGCGCCGGCACACGAATCATCCACAGTGATGGCTGAAGGTGCATTGCGAGCAGCAGCGGTAGACACCGCTGGAAGAGCGGGAGGAGACTGGAGTGCGAGAGCAGGGCCAGGAGAGGGAGAAGAAGGAAGCGGGGAAAGCACCGGTGTCACGAGCGCGTCTTCCGTCTGCGTGGTTTTCGTTCACAACAGGGTAATAAAAGTTATTCCTCGTTCAGACTATTTTGTTCCATGTGCGTGAGATATCCTAAAAAAAGCGGCTGCGTGAGATATCCTACAAAAAAAGCGGCTGCGGCTCTTCGGCGCTTGCTTGTTGTTGCTCGATCTTTCGCGCGTTCGCCACGAAAGATGCTACATGCCACTCTGCAAAACCATCATATTCACACAGAGATTAATTAATTGGTAATCCTAGCACCGTCTCTCGGCGTCCTGCCGGCTTGCGTGTTTGAGACCGGAGGCACTCGTCAGCGGGTACTATTGCCTGTCTGTACAGCAGCAGTATGAGTGCTCATGGCAGGCTCGATGCACGCTTGCTTCCACCATGTGTTGTCGAAGACGCTCCAACGGTTGGTCTTGGGCGCCACTACTGCAGCCTCGTCGTTGAACGGGACATGGCCGCAGTGAACCTCTTCCTACCCCACCCACTTAAGGTGCCATGTTTTTTAACACCTTCACGCTCTTGCCCCCTGCCCCTCCTCTCACATATTATTACTATTCTTCTGCTGTCGTCCTTCTTCTCGTCGTCACCCCTAACCAACCTCCCACCCGCACCCATTATCCGCATCTCTCTCTCCCTCTCTGAACGCACTCCGCGCCCCACGCGACGATTGGTTCTCTCGTCTCCAGTACAACGGGGCTAAGCAGCTCTACGTCAACCGAGCGCTGGCGTACAGCGTCAAGAAGGAGTGCACCGACGGGAACCTGAACTCCTGGGTCATTCCGCTGCCGTTCGGGCGGGCCGTGCTCAGGCTCACGAGCAAGCTGTTCGCCTCGAGCGGCTTCGAGTATGTCATGACCCTCGACAACCATGACCGCGGCGGCGGCGGTGGTGGTCGTGGTGGTCGTGGTACCGTTTTGTACAAGAGCACCCAATAGCGCAAAAAGAAGGAAATAGTCAGCGGCACAGCACGCTGGACCACCCCCCCTCTTTGTCGTCGGGCGACGGAGTTGACGGGGGAGCCCACGGGACTCCTCGAACCGCGTCTGTCCCTCTTTCAGTGTCGTATCGACGACTATTCCTAGGTGTATTTAGCCGGAGGGCGCACGCCTTGCTTCTTGCAGTCTCCTGTAGGAACAAGCTGCAGATATTGTGGTGATGTTTCCTTTCCACGACGCTTGTGACTTGTGAGTGAGTTTGTTTCAACGATGATAATCCTTTTATTCCAGTCTAAGGTTACCTCGCATTGCGTGTAGAGGCAAGCGGAGGGTCCTAGACTATTTGGCGTTGATTTCTGTTGACTTGAGGACCCTTCGGATCCATTTTGTTTCCGTGTACCTGTGTTGAGTAAGTTAGCCGACGACCACGGGAATCGACCGCGTCAAGTACTTGACTATTTAGTACGGGCAGAAGAAGGTACCGGGTGGAGAGAACGGAACGGTTTTTCATGTGAAGACAACAATATTCGTAACAGCTGCTTTACCGCGCCACCGGCGCACTGCTGTACCCGGGCAAGTTGTCGAAGCAGAAAAACGAAGGAAATCGCGTCGACTAGGGTGCCCGGCGGTCGATACCAGAACGATTGATACGGAAGGTAGAGGCTGCAACAGCAAAGGTTCGCGAGTGAGGTGCGTTGAGGGTGCCGCGCCCACCAAGAGCATTTGCGAGAATGATCAAGGGGACAAACTCTGCACATTTCATGCATGTATCCGTTTCGTTTAGTTAGGGCAAACATGGCAAACGTGTGCCTGCTGCAAATACAAGTGCCTACAAAAACAAGTCCACGGAAAAAACGCGCGCTCCTCGGATAAACATACGTGTGACAAGACACAATTGATACAATCGCATCTCTCGGCCGCCTCGGAAATGTTGACGCTACCCAGTGTTCCTCTCCGCTGTCAGCGGCGCGCAAAAGTTTCACTGCGCACGCTTGACACACCCACAACATATCGAACCTCTTCGACTCCGCCACGAGCGGTGTGTGTATCTGATGGTGCTGCTACGCCGGGGTCGGTTGCACATAGCAGCGTGCCACGGGTCATTGGTGACACACTTCCTTGCATGCACACAAACACAACCCACCCGCGGCCAGCGAGACGCACGTGTCGCAAACTTTGGCTCCCCTTCGTCGGCTCGCTTCCCTATGCTCCCTCAACAGAAACCCAGAAACAATGGTATGATGAAAGACGGGTTGTCTACCGTTTAAACCGCTAGATGCCATATGCCACAGGAACACACCGTTTCCAGTGGTTTCGACAACACACGCAAGGTCATGGCGGGGCGCGAGGGCCTCCTCCTGCATGAAGGAGAAGGTGCTCGCACCACAAAAAAAGCAGGCCAGCCCCCCCCCCCTCAAAAAACAAAACAAACACCTTCGGAAACACGTTCATCCATGAACACACTACTGCGAAAATGTGGGCAACACTTCGGTGGGGGGTGGGGGGGGGCGAAACACGGGGTATTTTCCCCAGTCATCGCCTGCAAGGCTGCAGCGGCTTCAAGAACGGGCGGCCGGCGGCGGGGGCGGCGGAAGGAGGCGTGCTTTCACCACAAACGACTACAACACCGTCCTACAACAACAACAAAAATCCCTTGTCAAACGTCGACTTCCTTATCTAGTCCCACCCAAAACAACACGGTGTTGTGTTACCTCGTCGCTCGAGGGGAGGGGACGGGAGACATGGGTGCGCGTAGACATACATGCAAAAGGACGGACACGTGCTCCGTCAAGACGTTCAGGTGCCGGAGAGCGCACAGTGCCGACTCGACGTGTTGACATCTCCAGCGGCAATAACAATCAATCGCCACGGGCGGCGGTTCTCTCTCCTCTCTCTCTCTCACAAATGCCGGAATTCTCTCCAAACAACCAATCTTCACATTTTTCTTCGTCCTCCAAACCAGCTCGCTACAGACCGCGGCCGCCGACCTCCCGCCCCTTTCTCCACGGCGGGTCCATACCTCGAACCCCTCCAAGGACAACGGGGTCCACAAGACCATCTTCCGGGTCCAGTCACAACACTTTCAGCCGGAAAGAGGTTTATACAGAACGGCACACGGGTGTAACACATCTTCCCCTCATTGTTAAGGCGGCGGGGATAGCTGCGCTTTTCTCGTCCCTATGCCTCCCAGCTGGAACCGTAGAGCTGGGTCTCGGTCTTCCCCTCGAGCTTGCGCTTCTTGGGGATCTGCCCCTCAGACCCTCCCCCCTCGCGCCCGCGGAAGTTAACGGCGTCGCCCTTGATGTCCGACACGCCGACCATGGCCTTGCCCAGCCCGGTAGATACCTCCGCAAGGATCTGAGGCACGGCAAAACAAATAAACAGCTTGGTCCATTAAGGGTACAATTTCCCAACGTCTGTCGAGGACGACGACTGCCTCTTTTCACCCTCGAGTGGAACACAGAAAATCGTGTTTTGTATGTGCGAAGTAGATACCAGCGGCGGGAGGGGGGCGGCGTACTCATATTTTGCACGCCCTGTCTGATACGATCCTTGAGAGGGGGGGGAGGGGAGGGGGGAGGGGGGAGGCGGGGGGGGGGGGGGAATTCGAGGGTGGGGGGCGGCACACATGGGGCCCGGGGGGGCCGGGTCGAAGCCCCCAAAATTAGCGGGAACCTTTTTCCAAAATGGGGAGGAAAACCTCTGAGAAGAAAAGAAATTTTCTTTTACCCGTTTTTGGGGGGTTTGGGGGAGGGGTCCGTTTTCCCACACGCCGTCTGGGAAAACCCCAAGGGTTGGGGGCTTTACCAAAGGCCAAAAAGCACAATTTTTTAAACAACCCCTACATCTTCTGGGGCTACAAAAGGGGGATTGGGGGGGGACAAAAAAAAAAAAAATGGACCCAGGATACCGGGGCAACACCTCGGAAAAATCCCCCAGAATGGGGGCGGGGGGGAAAAACAAAATAGGACGCCCAAAACC